GTTGGAGAGGATGTGCTGCGAGATTACCCCTCCTGAAAAATGCATTTTTTTAGGAGGATCACAAGTCTCAACCCAAAAGCTGCACATTTCCCTCTTTGCTAAGAAAATCAGCACATGAGCTTTGGGAGCTACGTCCTGAAAGTGCTGCTTTGATACAGCTCCAAGAGAGAGATGTATGGCCTTATCTGCATCCTTGTGGGCAAGTGGGAGCTTGCAGGAATGTTTTCTGTACCTGTTCACTCTCAGGTTTTTATTTCAAAGCAGAAGAAACTCTAAATATTGCTTGTAATGCAGAAATTACTGAAGGGGAGAGCAGCGTGTGACATTGATGCTTTCAACTTCATTCCTGTGTTTTTGAGGGCTCCTGTTCTTAGCAAAAAGGACCTTTTAGCTGAGAGTTTCCAGAGAAATCCCTTAGCTTTTCTATATTTTATTTATTTACAGCTTTTCCTCATTTAGCAGGACAGCAAAGTAACGTTGGGATTGCCTGAGGGAAGCTCTTGCTAAGAAGCTTTCCAAGAATCGTGAAAGATTTAAGTCCTTTCATGTCATCCTGCAGGGATATCTGCCTGCCCTTCCCTCACCACTCCTTTTGGTCAGGTTGCCATTGAGTTTCCATCTGGATCAGAGGAAGAGAAAGCTCTGAGCTGCTCAGCTTTTTGCTAGTCAAGGGTGAGACCTCTGGGTGAGAAAAGGGCAGAAGAAGGTCAGTGGTTCAAGGGCTGGTGATGGGCAGGCTGCTGTGCTGGTACTGCCCAGGCTCTCCTAAAACAATAAACAGACAAACTGCACTGGCTGGTGGGGATTTTTTTTCTCAGGATGGACACAAAGGGGGTGGTGTTAATAATTGGCCCCAGTTAGAACCATTTTCTCAGAAGGGCCATTAGCTGCCTTGCTGCTATTGCCTGTGGCAGTAAATGGAGTTAATTTAGGGGAGAGTCTCCAGTGTAAAAACTCAGGGATGGGCTGAGCCAGACTGCTGGACTCTGACCAGCTAGGCCCTTGCTGTGCTTACTGCTGTAATGGCTGGGAAGCTTTCCTGGTTTTCATGACTTCCCTCCCCTCTTCTGAATCATGGGTGCTGAGATTGGCCTTGAGCCTGTATTTGCTCACTAACATTATTTTGCTAATATTTATTTAGATTTTAGTGGTCATTCCTGGATTTTTCTGTCGAGGCTTTTAAATATGGAGTGTTGGAACAGTCAGACCTCCTTGGAATCAGCTGTGCCATGGAGTGCATGGACCTGCACCCAGGATTTCACCTCAGCAGGTGTTGCCCCATCCCTGGAAGTGTCCAGGGCCAGTCTGGACAGGGCTTGGAGCAGCCTGGCATAGTGGAAGGTGTCCCTGCCCACAGTGGAATGGATGAGCATTAAGGCTGCTTCCAATGCAAACCATTCTGGGATTCATGTGGTTGGAACCAATGTCTACATCTCATTCTTAATACTGGAATTAAGAAGGTTCTTCTGGGTGGGGCTGAGTTACTGAACTGAGGTTTTACAACAGCCAAGAATCCTCCTGGAGTTCGTGCTTTAGGGGTAGTGCTAGAAATAAAAACAAAATAATTGAGTAAAAAAAAATTAAGACTTGTGTTGTGGCAAAGTAAAGTAAAGTTTGCAAAGGAAATGCAGCCTAAACGATCTTCTTGGTGCACATCTTAAAAAGACACAAGTGACACCATGAATATTTGAAGCTTTTGATCAGTGATGCAGAAATGAAAGGAGCAGCACATGCAACTGTGATCAATTATTGACAAAAGTAATTCCTTGCATGTGTGGAGCCTGTAGTGGGACGTGAAGGTTGAGTTCACTAGAATTCCAGAGCTGGGCAGTAATGCAAACAAGACCCCAGTTGATCAACTTCATGCATGTGGTTCTATTTATTATGCAAATCTCTTCCAATATGTTTAAATCAACATGTGGTGGTGAGGGGTTGCACCTTCAGCAGAGGATTTTTGTGGGCTGCACAGTTTGGGCTCTGCATGCTCCAGTTTGATGGATCCAGTGTTTCATGATGTACCTATAGGTTAGTTTATTTAGGAAAATAATCCCAAAACCTGCTTGTGATGTGCTATCTCTGAGTGTTTGACCTTTTTACCTTAATTTCTGTGGATCTTGGAATAAATCAGTGTTTCTTGAGGCATTCCTAGAAGGTGAATTGGGCAGAGGGTGCTTCCATGTCCCTCCCAGTGAGGGCACACAAAGCTCACACTGCTGAAGAGACCAGGGGCTGGTTCATGCCACGTTCTGTGTTCAGCTGCAGTAATTCTTTGTAAACATGCCAGTGGAAAGGAATCCCATAGATCTCCCAATAGGAATGAGTTGGTTTTATTTTTTAAAGGGTACTGGAAGACCTTATGTAAAGTAATTGCAAATTGAGGATATATTATTAAGTGGGAGATTTTAGTTTAAACTAGTTGGGTTGAGGTCAAGATGTTTGGCTTTTTGTTGTGTTGTGGTTTTTGTTTTTTTAAACAAGCATATTTTGTCAATAAAATGAAATTTCAGCTGTTCTCAAATATTTTGTACACTCAAAACCTGTGTGGGAGCAGGAATTGAGGGCTTAGCAGAAAAGGGGAAGGTAGCTTTGTCAAGAAGTCTAGCACCTTGTCAAGTGAACTTTATTTCTTATATTGCTAATCAGGATTAAAATGCATATATTGCCCATATTGAGAGCTGATACAGTTTAGGAAGGTCCTGGTGTTGGCTTTTGGTGCATTTCGATGAAGGAAGGACCAAGTAGGAGGACTAAATCCATGTCCAAGGCTGGGTCATCCTTCCTCTCTGCAGCTGCCCACCTTCTGCTTTGTCATTTGGCGTCTGTGCTTTTTGGGATTTTAGTTTTCATTGCCTCCCTGATTTGTCCTTTTTGAAAGCACCGATCTTCCAAAGTAATATTTTAAGGTTTTTGTTTTAGAGAACAGGATTTTGTGCAGTTACCCTTTGGCTTGGCAGATTTTGTTGCAGTTCTCCAAGCCAGCAGCAGTGATTTGCTCACTCATCTTTTTTAATCTTCCATGGTGATAAAATCCAGTGGTTCTCTTTTATGGAAGCTTGTTGGCATTTAATAGGGAGCTCTCCCAGTTTGTTTTGCACACCTAAACCTCCACAGTCAGGGATAATACCTGCCTGAGACTGATGGTTTTCCTTGACTCCTGAGAGTCTGGAGATGAGCTGAAACCTCCTCCTCTCATTCAGCCAAGGCTGCTCTTTCCCAAATCCACAGCAGCTCAGAGCAAGGTGTGAGAATTGATATTTCCTGTTAGGGCAGTGAAATTTTTCCCAATGCCCAATCTAAAGCTCCCCATTCCATTGCTCCCTGTCTAGGAAAACATTCCTTCCCACAGGAAGGTAGGAGAACATCCTAGACCAAGCTGTGGTCCCTTTAATCACGAGCAGGTCTTGCATGCAGTGTTCCCAAATGGAAATTGCTGCTTGTCTGGTCTCCATCCCAAGTTCTTGTCACTGGGTGTGGTACAGAAAGCTCTTCCTGGGGGTTTTGATCCAGTGGGACTTCAGGTCATGGAACAGGAACTGCATGAGCACAGTGTCTTCTCTTGCCCCTGGAATGCCAAAGGTTAACCTGAGTCTTGAGAGCATTCACTCTGAGCCTTTGGTTTTCCTTCTGCTGCCAGTGGCTGTGTGGGAGGCAGCTCATACCTGTACCAAAATACTGATTATTTCTCACGTGTTTTCATATGGGTACTCACAGGATTTATTCATGGCTGAAATACCAAGGGATGTGTTACATGAAACTGGAGAATTCCCAGCTAATAGGTCTTTTTGGGATATTAAGGCAAAAGCAATGTATTTCATAGAGGTACACTGGAAAATACAAGTTTGTTTTGTGGTTGTTTTTTAGGTGGGTGATGGGAAAGCTTGGATGGTTTCTGAAGGTAGTGAGAGGCACATCTGGAGTAGGAAATTGCCTCCAATTTTACTCTCCAGATTAAAAAATCAGATGACACAGCTTCTCCTCCTGCTGATTGGAGGAGAAGCAGTGGCTCGCTTAAAAACAACGTGGTCAGGTGTAACCTTCCAGCTGCCATTTCCTGTGGCATCAGGAATTGCTTGGAACACCAGGAGACTCAGTGCTGCTTCATTCAGTGGAGTAGGAGCTGATCTGCTCAGTAGGAGCATCCTGTGCAGCACAGGCATTCAGCTGGTTTGCATGGTTCTGGAGGGGTTAAATCAGCATCCACACTGGGTTTGGAACAGAAGCATCACTGTCTGTTTGCATACAGCTGTCTGGACCTTTATGGAAGGAATAAAATCGTGAAAGTTTTTAAATACAGAAAAATTGAGCCTTATTTCTGTTCTTTGGTGTGGAAATGACAGTGAGGTGGGAGCCAGTTATCAACTTCTGTGATAAACTTGCCTTTCTCCAAGAAATCAAGTAGTTTTTAATTTTGTAGTAAATGGTTCTGTGGTTTATTTCTGCCTAGACAATGGCATGTTTGAGGAATGAAGAGAGATTTCCCCCTGCCTGAGCAGGGATGCTCCCACTGACTGGCTTCTGCAGTTGCTGACGTTAAGTGTGATGTGCAGTAGAAAATAACATGTTTCAGAAACAGCAAATTTTCTCATTTACCTGGATGGAGAAGTTACTGCAGACGGTGGCAGCTGCAGTTGGTGACATGCAGTGTGACAAATCCAAGGCTTTTCCTGCAGGGAAGGAATGTGTTGTTCTGGGTGGGATGTGGTTTAAGCAGGGACACACTGGAAGAGCCTGTGTGCAGCTCCAAGGACCTGGAGGTAGTTTGAGCTTGCTGATGGTGTGGGAGCACTTGCTGCTGAGAGCAGATCCTTGCAGAATGGGAATTTCTGGGATTTTTGATATCATTTCCCCAAACCCCTGTTGTCTGTCATGTTGGACTGTCAGCCTCCCCAGAATCAGGAGTGACCTCTGGCCTCGTGTTCCCAAAGCTGTGCTGTGAAATTGTGTGCAGCAAGCAGTAAATGTCATTATCCTCATGTTGGGAATGTTCTCCTCTTCCACAGATGCCTTTGTAAACAGCCAGGAATGGACACTGAGCCGATCTGTACCAGAGCTGAAAGTGGTGAGTTCACGTTTGCTCCTGTCTTGGAAAACATCCTGGGAATGTCACACACAAGGGGGGGTCCTCCATGCTTCACTCCAGCTACTGTTGGGAAAAAAATGTAGAAAGCGGTTTAAATAAGTAAAGAAGTTTCCCTCTACATATTATAGACTCACAGGAGGGTTTAGATCGGGAGGGACCTCAAAGCTCATCTCATCCCACCCCCTGCCATGGGCAGGGACACCTTCCACTATCCCAGGTTACTTCAAGCTCCTTCCAACCTGACCCTGAACACTTCCAGGCCTGAGGCTGGCTTTATGAAAATGATGTATACTCAATATTTCTAATCACACTTCAAAGACCTCTCAGGATTTTATTGCTGTTTGAATTTGTTCTGCTCCAAGAAGCAGCTTCCAAGGGGCATCTTCTCAGCAGGGAAGTCTTAGGGCAGTGGAAGTTAGCGGCTGACACATAAAGCTCTTTTTATCTCCCCATATTAAGCTTCCCTGATTTCTTAAAGGACTAAATGTTATTCTCCCTCTCTTTAAAGAATTTAGGCATTTCCCAAATCTGAGTTGATAATAGTGTTTTATAGAGGTGTGAGAATCTGCAAGGCCACATTTAACAGGATAAATGCACTTAGAGAGGCATTTTAATAGGAGCATCATCCTCACAACTACAATTCTGTGGCTGTTTTGATTTTAGCAGTGCTCAAGGTGAGTACAAGAAAAATCTGGCAGTCAGTGGATGCAATTCCCTAATACAGGAAGGGTCAGCAGGTTTTGTTTAACAGATGTCATTTGGAAGACCCCAGATACCTCACACAATGAAAAACCAGGAATTCAGGGCTGGAAGGTGTTGGTTGGATAGGAGTCCAACACTGTTAGCTGGCTTATCTTTGGTTCCCTTCTCTGAGCCCTGCTAATTCTTAGCACCCACGAGGAAAACTGGGAATTGCAGGTGAGAGCAGAGCTGCAGGCAGTCCATGTTGTAATTCCAGAGCACCAGAGGATAACCAAGCACCAGGTGATGGTCTCGGGGTACGTTTTTCTGTTGTGATAGCCTGGCTGCATCATGTGAGTGCTTACCTTGGGTGTTTTGCCCCTGTGTTGTCTGAAGCAGGGGTTGGAAGAGCAGATTTCAGCTGTAGAGAATTGATTTGCAGTGGTCAGCGTGCCCAAGGGTGAAAGCAGAACTTGTGCTGTTACAAAAATAATGATTTTATTATAGTACTGCAAATGATGGCAGCCAGCAGCACCAGCTGTGCCTGTGAACTTGTGCTCCAACAGGAAGGGTAAATGAGGAAGGCCAGCTGAAATGTGCACGTCTGCCATGAGTCACCTCTGTCATTCCCTTCCTTCAGCCTCAGCCTGGCTGCTCCCTGTGCCTGAGCAACGTAACGGCCATGCCAAAGGGAGAGGCTGTCCTCCTGTACAGGCTGGGAGGTCCTTAAACTGACGGGGTTGGTTGATACTTATCTTTGATTTATTTCTAGAGTGGCTGTTGTACCCTTTGGGCTCTGCAGAATTTTCAAGGGAACAGAAACTGGCTCTAGGAGAGCAGAGAGCCCCCAGGGCTGCAATAAAGGAAGGAGGTATTTTTCAGTGTGCCTTTGAGGAAAGAACACCAGTCTTTGCCTCCTGTTTTTTCTTTTTTTTTTTAGCAAAATGAGGCTTGGTTTCTTTCCAGTGTTCAGAAAGATATTCAAGGCCACCTTGCAGGGGGTTTGGAGCAAGCTGGAATAGTGGAAAGTGTCCCTGGCCATGGCAGGGGCAGGAATAGGATGAGCTTCAAAGTCCCTTCCAATCCAAACCAGTTTGGGATTCTGTAATTGGTTCCTGCTGATCCAATACTTGAGTTTTACTTCTGGCTTTTGATGCTTTTGTTGTGGTCAAGAGCATGGTGAGACCACTACCTTTGGTGTTTCTGGGTCCTGTTTATTCAAATAATAAATTAGGATGTGTTAGGCAGAATAAACGTGAGAGATTTCTGGATAAAATCCCCGAATTTTTTGCAAAAGCATATGCAAAAAAATATGCAGTCAGACTCCTCTCCTGGATTGCTTTAAAATGCCAAGTGCCATCAATAGAGTTTATGATTTTTCCCAACAGGTTTTAGGAGGAGTGGGCAAAGTGGCTTGGGTTTGTTTTGCAGCATGTGTGGCACATGGAAATAAATGATTCAGTGTTGCACAAGTCATAACTGAAAAGAGCAGTGAGTTGTAGTTGAATTTTCTCCTCCCTGAGCTGGGTTAGGGTGGTATATTTGTTCCCTAACATGCTTGTCATAACTTGGTGCATTTCAGACATACCCATAAATAAATGGAGATGACTCGGATTGTTTGTGTATAAAACAGGGAAGAGAGGAATATGACTGCTGTGAAAACAGGCTGGCATTTTTGTCATAATGTGGGGGATCAGCCTTAAAGCAAATATTAATGCTGATGAAGAGAGAAACTGTATTAGAAGTCAGATTTTTTTTTCCCCCTCCCAGTAGGATTTATTGCTCCTACTTTGTAGGAGTGTGTCAGAGAATCTGAAGTACTGTCAAATGGTGTAACCTGGTATGACCTTTGGGATATTTAAAAAAATCAAAATATGAAACTGTGTTCTTGAATCATTTGATGTCTTTAAAATATTGGGGGGGATCTCTGGATAGAATAAGACATCCCAGCCATGGGACGTTGCCTCTGACTGGACCCCCAAGTTGATGCTTTTCTGTTGTCCCTGGCAGTTACAGTTTTGGCACTAATGTAATAGAAAACAGCATTAATTTCCATGCACACAAGGCAAATCACTTGTAAGTGAGGATTTCACTGGAACCAGTCGTGTACACCATTAAAAATACAGTTCAGCTTTCACACACTAAATTAATTATTTTTCAGTGATGAATCCTGAGGAGGGGGAATTTTGTACATTGTTGTAGGCAAAAAAAGTGGGAAGGAACTTCTCATTGGGAGGCTTTGTATGAGAAGGGAGATGTATCAATTTGGTGATGAGAAGAGGTGCCAAGGCCAAGCTGTTCACTCACAGGCTTCCCCCAGGTCTCAGTGGTTTTGTGGTGTGAGTGGGAGTAGACAAATGTACTGCAGTTCGTGGGCATATAGTGGAGGGATAAGTCGTTAATTTGGGAGGTTGCTTCGTGTTCTGGGGGTAAGGGACACATGTTAGAGATGTCATTTTCTTCCTGTGACTCATCCCAGAATCCCTCCCCCTGCTGCCCGCGCTGTGGGATCAGCCCAAGGCAGGGGGAATTTGGGGTGTTGGGGGTGCCAGCACACATGGCTGGGTCCTGTCAAGCCCCTTTTGATAAGGAGGGTGGTTGGGATTAATGAGGATGAAGAAGATGGGGTGGAGAATGTGCAGGGACATGCAGCTCGTGGGTGCTGCCTCGGCCTGTTTGGCAGAGCAGCAGAGTTCATCTTCTCTCCAGGGACCTTCTGTTCTGAACCTCTGCTGAGGGTCAAGAAAACAGCAGAGGACGGAGCAGGCTGGGGCTTGTTTCAAAGGGGGAAAGGAGTTCCCATTACCTCCCTCCCCCCCAGAATGGAGCAGGATGTCCTCAGCTCCTTCAAAGCTGCAAACCCCAAATATCTTCAAGTCTTTTGGCATTTGAGTGCTGGATCCCAGAGACCTGGGGTTTTTGTGCTTTCTGTGCTTCCTGGCACTGACCCCTTGGAGAACACTGCTTGTGACCTGAGGCCTTGGAGAAGGCTCCAAATTTGAGTGATGGAGTTAGAGTGACAGGTGTGCGGTTTCACACGGCGAAGGGTTTTAAATTTGAGGTTTTTATAATATAGTGATGGGTATGGGACAAGATGAAGGATTTTGGGTGTTGTTTCCTTTCTGTTCTTCTTCCTTCTTCTCCATGGTTTCAGGCAGTAGTTTCTGGTTGGACAGTGCTGCACTCTGGGGTGCAAGAGTTTGGTTATTGGGTCAGAAGTATAAATAATATAGGTGTTAATTCTCTATTGGACTGGTTAGCTTTAAGCTCCTTGTAGCCAGCTGGATTCTCCTCCATTTTGCTCACTTTTAGCTGGTGGCTGGAAGTGCTGCTGAACTCTCTGTACTTTAGATAAGATTTAATAAACATCCAAGCCCAAACACGAGAAAATTCATCTCCTTTGTGTTTTTAATCCTGGCTCTGAGTGAAGACAAAAGAAACTTCAGACAAGCCCCTAATGCAATGGTGCAGGTACCCCTGTTACATTTGAGCACCTCCAGGAAGAAAACTCTGGTGGGGTTGGGCTGAAATCCTTCCCTGGGAGGGTGGGTAGGTGGGCACAGAGTGTCCCATCCCTGGAAGTGTCCAAGGCTGGGCTGGACGGGGCTTGGAGCACCCTGGGGAAGTGGAAGGTGCTGGAATGAGATGATCCCCAAGGTCCTTTCCACCCCAAAGCACTCTGCAGTTTATTTCATCTCTTGCCGTATTTTGCACCGTGTCTGTTGTTTGGGGTGTGGAGATTTTGTTTGAATACACTGCTTCTTGCAGGGATTGATTGCAGTTGGATTTTCTTGTTGCTCCTCCTTTTTGTTCTTGCTTGCAGGGGATCGTGGGTAACCTGGCGAGTGGGAAGTCAGCGCTGGTGCACCGGTACCTGACGGGCACCTACGTCCAGGAGGAGTCCCCTGAGGGTATGTCCATATACAAACCCCACTCTTACTTCTGCCCCCACAAACTACATCCTTACTCATTTTTGGTCATGCAGAAAAGGATTAGCAGGAAAAAAAAAAACAAACAAAAAAACAACCACCCATGTGCTGCTTCAAAATTCATGGAATTTTTTTGCTTTAACGTTCTCCAGACCGAGCTAAGTATGCACGATGAATATAATTGTAGATTTTCCATGACTTCTTAGAATTCTTTAAATACTTTGACCTGCAGTGTGTGTCCAAATGAGAATTAGTCCTGATGGAGAGGAGTTGACTGCTCTCAGTAGTGCTGCTGCTTTCACTTGGGCTGTTGAAATCCACAATTACTGTCTGTAGTGGTGGATTTCTGTTCAATCAGGATGTTGGGAGAATAAAAAAATCTTCACCAGCCTAAATGTAAAGGTGTAACTTGCTTATTGTTTAATATATTAAACATTTGGGTTTTTTTTTCTAATGTTCTTATGGCATAGAAAATTAATTTGTATGCTGTAGTGTTTAACGTTAATCCTAGTTTGTAGCTTGAAATCAAAAATATCACAGTACCTTATCAAGGTTTATTTTACAGTAAATACTTTTTTGATTATTTTTCTTTATCTGTTTTCCTTATGAACTTTTAAATCCAACTCTGAGACACTGAATTTCTGGTTCCTTCTTTTCCTTACTGGCTGTTCCCTTCTTTGCAGATATGGATGCAGGTAACTATACATTGTCTTCATGGCAGCTCTCGTTTTGAAGGGACAGATGGTGGTTTCTGTACTAGAGCATTTTTCCTCTTGTTTTGTGTATCATTTTGAGTTGTTTCCTTTTGATTTCAAGTCTTTAGTACATCTCACTGTTTTTGTCTCTTGCTGTAGTTGTCTCTTCAGCAGTAGTTTGTAGTTTCATGCATCTCTGATAACATTTGTTTCTAATTAACTCTTCCCACAGGAAGCTGGTTTAGCTTGGCAGTTGACATTTTAACAGCCTGGAATTGTAGTTAAAATGGGAGAAGAGGGGAAGGGAGGGATGGACAAGGCTTTTCCTGTGGAATTGCACTTAACACTGAGCTCTTGCAGGTTCTAAGTTTGCCCTAAATGTTTTTGCTGGCAATAATAATTGATGATAGCAATTGAGCCTCTGCACAGAAGTGTGTGTGGATGATGCTTCTGGATGCTAATAGAGGCTGTAGTGTCACTGAGTACAGCAAAAATCACTATCTTGACACATCTCTTCCCTCACTTCATGAGCAGAGGATATTTGGATTTTTTTTTTTCCCCTTTTGGAAGATTCAAATCTACTGACTGTTGACAGGGCTAACCCTGCTCTCCTCCTAAAGGATGAATATTTTAGGTGATATTCCTTGGGAGTGTTGCCATCTGTCCTCTTTGTCTTGCAGGATTTTTATTTACAATGCTCATGTGATGTTGTGACTGTTTTTCCTGAAAGGATTAGATGACAAAAGCAGTGTCAAATCATTTCTCTGCACGTAAGTGTGGCTGACAAGCCTCACTAATGACACTGTTGCATTTCATTAACAGGAGGAAAACTGGAATAATTAAGAGCTCTGATTCGCCTTGTGAGGGATAAGGTCAAGGTTTCCAGTCCAGTCAGCATTAAAGGAAATTCAACCCATATAAATTACTCTCAGTAAACATCTCTAGTGGTGATTTAGTGGGGTTTTACCTCTCTGTCAGAGAATCACAGAACCACAGAGTGGTTTGGGTTAAAGGGCCTTTAAAGCTCCCCCTGTTCCATCCCCTGGCAGAGGCAGGAACGCTTCCCACTATCCCAGGCTGCTCCAAGGCCTGTCCAACCTGGTCTGGAGCACTTTTAGGTCCTTCAAACAAGTCCCTAGAAAAGAAAGTGTAATCCTTCATACTGGAGAGCCCTTTGGATCCTCCCCTGTTCCTTTTCTGAGGGACTGTAAACTTGCCAGGTTGTTAAATTGGATAAAGAAGAGATGGATATAGGATGTTAAGGTGTCAGCTGCTTGATCAGTTAAGAAAAAACCCAAGTTTATTGGCTTGGAATGGCTTCCTAACAGCTAAATTTATGAGGCATCATAAAATCAGTCCTAATGGGTGAAGTGATGGATATTTGCTGCACGTGGAAGTGGTGATTAAGGCCAGGGACTGCCATTTCTGCTCACCTTTGCCTTTCAAATTGCTGCAATTCCCAGGAAACCTGCCCTGCATCACACAAGTGCCACATCTCCTGCAGGCCTTGAAGGATTCAGCATTCCAGTAAATGAATCTTAACTATGTAAAGATGGTTTCAAGTTTCCTTCAGCTCTCTAAGTGAGAGATTTCTCTTGCTACCCACCACGAGAAGGAATCCTTCACTTCACAGTGGAGTTTTTTCTCACTGCCTGCCCCAGTTTTTATTTCTCTTCAGAACTTTTTTGTCCCTCATGTGTTTTGTAACTTGAAAACCTTAGTTTTCTCACGGAATTAAGTTTTTATTATGAAGAAAAACGGCCTTGAGACTCTTCTTTTGCATATTTAACATACACTCAGCTTGCTGCTGAGTGACACATTTTAAATCAGATGGAAGAAAAGCAGCAATGTGTTACCCTGCTGTAAGTGGGGAATTTCAGTCTGGGACTGAAATTTTTGGTCTGGGACTTTCAATTTTTTTCTCTGATGATACAAGAAGGAAATAATGGGAGCTAAGGAATCCTAGGGATTTGTGATCTTCTAAGGAGCCTCTAAGTGATTGGAACTGCTGGGTGCTTTACCTGCTGAAACAACAAGTGAGGTGTGGGAAGTGGCTTTATTTCCCCTCATCTAAAATTTAATTCTGCCCGTAGGAGCAAAGTGAAATGTGTGGTGTTGGTGGAATTTGAGACTGAATTCTGTGCAGACCAAGGTGAAGTGAAGTTTATAGATAGGAGTAGTGAGTATCAGGAGGATTCTGTTGCTTGTTTGGGTTTTGTTTCCAAAAAGCCACAGAGATGTGAAACGTGACTTAAAGGCTTTTCCACATCTCTGGCTGTCTGAGAATATTTTAAGTCATGTCATGATTATTTCAGTACTTCGTTTTCCAGTGAGTCTAATAAAACAAAAAAAAGACAAATTGTGGTCCAGGGTGTCTCAGTTGGGATGACAAAAAAAGAGGGTTTTCTTCTCTACGTACTTCGGGATATATTTAAGAGTTATTTATTAATTTAATGCAGAATAATTATTTTTAGTATTTTAAAAAGCATGAAAGCCATCCACCATCCTGACTGCACCCTGAGCAGCAAGTAGCTGTGGCAGTCAGTGGAGGTTTCATCTCTCTCTTTGTGGAGGAACTTAGAATAAAAATGAAATTTTCCCCCAGTAAAAGGTACAGAATTGAGCCTTTAATGTGTTTTTCAGAAAGCTGTGATGATTTACTCTCTTTCCAAATTTGACCTAAGAGTATTTTTATACTATTGCAGCCTTCACCACATAACTTTTTTCGGTACCACAGTGAGCAGTGTATCACTTGCATGGCAGAAATGGTCATAAAACAGCAGGAATGGTCATGTTTAATATCAAAATACTAAATGAAGTGTCACCCTCAGCCTTACCTTCAAAGCATGTCATGAAAGTATCATGAAAATAAGTTGCCAGCTGTAACAAAAACACGCATTGATGATCTTCAAGCCTTTTCCAACCTAAAGGATTAAGATTCTGTATACAAATTACATCTTGAGGGATGGGTGTCTATGGTTTTCAGTTTATCTTGAGTAACTACTTCTGTCTGATGCTTTCTGAGCAAAGGGTAATTATGCAAGGAGGATTGAGGAAGAGTGCTTTAAAATTTCAGCTGCTTCTGTTCACATCCTCTTAAGAGATTTTCTCCTGGTCCCAGACCCTTACACAATATGTATGCAGAAAGTTCAGGCATAATCTATGAACTGGGATGACCTTCCAGGTGTCTTCATTCAGGTCTGATCCTGGGCTTGAATCCAAGAGTGTGGGTCTGGTTCACCTGGGGGGAAAAAAAAGCAAAGGGAAAAAAGACTCCCCATCCCTGGAAGTGTTCATGGTCAGGCTTGGAGCAGCCTGTGACAGTGGGAGGTGTCCCTGCCCATGGCGGGGGCTGGAATGGGATGGGCTTTAAAGGCCCTTCCATCCCAAACCACTCTGGGATCCTTCTTTGCTTGCACCTGGTTGTGCTGACATTTACCATTGGGCTGGGGTCACAGTTTGTGTTTTGGGTGGGGTGGAGCATGGGAGCTGCAGCAGAGCTGGACATTTTCCTGCTGCAGCACTGAGATTCCCATCCCCTTCTCCACATGATCCATGCAATTCTGCCTGCTGGGAACAATTAGATTCCTGAGGCTGCCAGTCTTTACAGAAGCCACTTGCTATTTTTATCTAGTTAATATTTTTCAAGTATGTAGGAAGGCCATATTTACTAAACACTCAGATTTGATCTTTGATGGATAAAAAGGAGGATGTGTCCCAGACTAATCTGTGTGCTCTGTTCTCGGGGAGCAGCTGGCTCAGATGTAAATGAAGAGCAGAGAACTGTGTCCTGTGTGGAGGTGCTTGGGTGCTTTCCTTGGAAACATTCATGCCTTTTCCTTCAGTATTTTTTGGAATTCCAGAAATAAACCACCATCATACACGTCAGAATTTACACAGGGTAGTTTTGAAAGAATCCCAACATGAGTTCAAAAAAGCCACATTAACCTTGAAGTCATATTTTGTGGTTCTTGGGCTGCACAACCCGAGGAAGCTGAAATTTTCTGTTGGTTTCAAATCCTTGGTGCAGTTTTCACAAGCCCCCTGAGCACTTTGGGGCAGATGAAGGATTTTTTTTGGCCTGTAAACCCACAGGCAGACGCTGTGTCGTGTTCAGAAGACAGTGATAACTTGGGACATGTGTTTCAGAATTACCTCTTTTCAATTCTTTGTCTGCCTTTTTGCTATAATGGTACCGACTGATTATTTTTATTTGGCATTTCACGCTGACACCCAGATATAAAACAACACTTGTCTCTTTTTTGATCCTTTTAAAGCACTGCTGCA